TTAGGCTTGTTAGAAATTAAACTAGCTAGTTAGGAAATTGAAATTGTTGTTTTAATTTCAAGTTCTTTCTTTGTATATAAATTTTTATATTGATATTGTTTCTGGATCAGTTTTTTATATTAGGATTAGTCATTTTTAAAGAAATGTAAAGAGAGAAATTTAGAAGATTTAGATTAAAAAAAATAAAAATGGCTTACAAGAGCGCTCATTATATGAGCCCTCCCGTATATTGACATACGAGAGCGCTCTTGAAATGATTGCTTTCGTATGTCAGCTCTACAAGAGCGCTCATTTCAAGAGTATGAGCGCTCTTGTACATTGACATACAGGAGCGCTCTTAAAATGAGTGCTCTTATATGTGAATATACAGGAGCGCTCATTTCAAGAGCGCTCCTGTATGTGCTCCCGAGGCCAAATTTTATTCTTACATATACGGGAGTGCTTGGGAAAAAGTGCTCCTACATCTAAACATACAGGAGCATTTTGTAAAGTGCTACCGTATATTTCGGAGTGCTAGATACATGAGTGCTTTTGAAGCACTCCCTAAAGCTAAAAAAAGAACTTTTGTAATCTTATTTTGTAGTAGTGGGAATAGGGCTTGGAGAACCGCCCGAGCCCGAATTCTTTTTTTCAGGGCCTATCAAGGCTGGGCCTAGAAAGCTTGATTTTCCAAAAAAAATCACTAATTTTTCAAGCTTCAACCCTTATCTAAACAGGACTTTCAGGCCTAACCTTTATTCCCAACTCTAATTCTACTTAGACTTGCTTCGTGTTTGTTATTCCCTGCAACCATTTTTTTTTTTTACTCTCAATCATTCGAACCCTATCATGACATAAAAATGAAAAAGTGGCCAGGATTTTTTAAGATGATGAGTTGGATTTAAATTATTTTAATTTTTTTTCCAGATCTTATAGTAAAAAAATCTTTTAAAGATAATTTTTTAACTATTTAATGATAATTTTTGTCACATATTTGAAAGGGGAAGAAAAGTTAGAAAATAAGATTTACATAATCTTAAAAATTTTGTAAGATTATATTTTGAAAATAAACTACTAATATAGTGGTTTACTTAACGATTTTTATTATTTTGTAATAATTTTCATATTTTTATATTTTTTTTACCACCTATTTTAATTTATGTATGAAAGTACTATATTTTCCTTTTTGTTTTTTGTTTTTATTTTTGTAAACAATTAAGAATTTTAGATGGAATTAAACAAATCAATTTCTTAGTTCATTTTGAGAAAGGTGGAGTCAAGTTGCCAAGTTCTGTGCTAAAAACTCACGCTAGACTTATCTTTATATTATGACTCGTTTTGAACGGTAGATCAAGTTTATGAGATTGAAACGTGACTAATCCAATTACAGATGAGTTTGAGTGAGTTGGGAAGGGAGGTGTTTCTGCAAGAATTGGTTTCCCTGTTCATCACCTGTGGTCGAAATTTAAAGTATTAATATATATTATATTTTTAAAATAAAAATTTATAAAAATTATGAAATAATTTTTATAAATTTTTTATTTTTAATATGGTCTATATTTAATTTAGAGGGTTTAATTTAATATTAAAATTTTTATAATTGATATATATTGATTATTCAAATGTATTATGTACAATAAAGATTAATATCATATTAAATATGGACTGTGTAGAATATATTTAGATAGTCAATATATAAAACTTATAAAAAATTTTGATATTAAATTGAACCCTTCAAATTAAATTTAAATCGGATTAAAAATAAAAAAATTTATTAAAATTATTTTATAATTTTTATAATTTTAATATATATAAAATAAAAATATATAATAATATTTTAAATCGGGATCATGCAAATTTTAATTTGGATGATTTAGATCTCATCACAAGATGAGCATCATGGTGCTTATCCTTATGATGAGTAGGGAAACCGGACCCCTTTCTACACAAGTTGAGTGACGATTTTGATAATCATAAAGGTTTAAGGGGGGGATTTAAGGGCCTATTGGATAACTCTTAAAATTACATCCAAACCATGTCTGAGATGTGCTTTCAGCAAATCTAACAAATAGTTGGATCTCTCAAATATACTTTTACCAAATGTAAATTGAAATTCAAACGGACACTAAATCTAAGCCTTTATGTAAGTAGTAATTTTGTTAGAAGAGCCATACTCTCATGGGAAATAATCTCTATTAATGTCATCAAAACTTATTTTTATTGCTATAATAAAAAATGTGAAATCATTTAATTCTTCTAAAATAGTTCCTATAAACAAGAACAAATGGTATTGGAAATACTCCTTCAGTTTCAGTTTACAATAATTTTTTAAGATGATTTGATATCTCAAAATATAAAACGTTTAAAAAAATAATTTTCATTAATGATAATTATTTCAATATTACCCCTTATTATTTAATTTTTTATATAATTTTCCCCTCTCTCTTATTAATGGAAATTTAAAAAAAATTATGATTGTAAATTATAATTAATGAACTTTATTAATATGTGCAATTATGTCAAAAATGCGTTATAAATTGAGTTGGAAGGGGAAGTTTTTAAGAAAAAGAAAATGGTATTTAATGTTTGGGAGAGGTAATGATGACATTTAATTTAAGCAATAATAATTTCCATTATTATTAATAAGAAGATCCAATTTCAGTATTGTATTTGTCCGCTTCCTCTATGGTTCAAACAAGAAAAGGCCTACCACCATTCCATTATGAGAAATACTCCGTTCGGTCATACTCCTTCCGGGCTAAATTATAAATTTTTTTTTTTGCTCTTCTTGGTTCAAAAAATAAGACATTTGATAGGTTTTAAAATTTTTTTTTCAGATTTTACTCTTGTAGTTATTAATTTGGTTTGTCGTATACTCCCTCTGTTAAAAAATATAAGACATTTTTTAAAGAATTGGATGTTAAAAAGTGTAAGACATTTTTAATCTTTCGAGATGTAATTATTGCCTTTTTTTAAAAGTATTCTCATTGATAATGATTTTATATTTATTGTAGGGTGTTTAATAGGGGTGAATATGAAAAGATATACTTTATTGAGGGGTGAGATTCGGTTAAAAATACCTTACATTTTTAAACGGGAGGAATAGTATTTATGACATTTTTCTTACTCTTCATGATAGATAAAACTTTATTAGTCTACAAGGAGGATCACACTTTCTCATGTTATAATACTTAATTTAAAAAAATATTATCTCTTTCATTTAATTTATTATTGACAGTTGGAGAAAAGGGTAAAAAGAAAAACTTATAATATTTTTAATTGAAACCAGGGATGTAATTGAAGTTTATTAATATTTGAATTATAGTTAAAAATGTCTTATATTTTGGATTGGAGGAAGTATATTATAAGTCACTTATAGCATTTTTATTGGAATCAAGGAAAACATAAAGTTTCATTCACTTTGTCTAAAAATTTAACAAATTTTTAATTTTATCTTTTATAAATATTCATACTTAAAAAAACTAATTTGACATTTAACAAGCTTCCCAACATTTAATAGAGGTAAAAGGATAAATGTAATATGGAGACAATAATCATTAAAATAAATATTCTCTCTACCCTAGTGCAACACGTACAATTGCCATGCCGATCACTTCCCTTATTATTCTTCATCTTCTCTGTTAGTCTGAAACAAACATGAAGAACCTGAAATATCAAACACAAATAATCATTGTTATCATCGCCATAATCTCCTTATATAATATCACCAAGCCACTGTAAGAACCTAATAGAGAAAACCTGTAAATAAACCCCTCATTATGATCTCTGCGTTCAATCCCTGAAATCCGATTCCTCCAGCTCCAACACAGATGTCACGGGTAACAAACTCATATATATGGATTTATCTCTATATATTCATTTCATTACAAAAATTAACTTTGACCGTTAATTGATCAAAAAATGATAGACAAGAACTTAAAAATCTTTGGTCCTTTTCTGTGAGTTTTTGGGTCCTTATCTGTAATTTTTGAATCCTTTATTATAATTTTATGATCAACTAATAGTTAAAGTTAACTTTTGTTAATGGAAAGGGAAAGATTGTACCGTTTTCAAAAATTGAAGGAAAAATTTGCATAATAAATTAATGAGTTTATGATTACTGAACCTAAAGTTCAATTAGATGATATTCTAAATATTTGTGAATTGGTTTAAAAGGATGCTCATCCTATATGAAAGACTAGAGGAAGTGTAATCAAATATAATTGCCACAAAAACAAAAAATCATTGATATCTAAATATTATTTTTTAAAAAAATTTTTACCCCTAACTAGCCCTTTCTCATTGGAAAAATAAGACACATACCCAAGTACACACACAAACATGCATGTCCAAGACATTTTTTAAAGGAGGGAGGATAGAAGGTGACGTTGTCATTAGGATAGTTTGTTATTGAATCTTATATATATATATATATATATAAGATTAACTCTATGAAAAATATTACTTTTTAAAATCTTGTCATTGAATCTTAATTACTTTTTAAAATGAAAAATATTACTTATATATGTATGTATATATATATATATATATATGTATATATATGTATGTATGTATAACTAGAAAGTGCATATTTTGAAGTAGAAAGAGAAAATGACAATCAATGATTTAGGTAAGGTAGCAATGACAATAAAGAATGAAAAATTTTCGAGAAATTAAAGAACAACTCCATTATTAATTGGAACGAAACACATTCCTCTATCTGTACCACATTATATGTCCCAGTTTTTATATTTTATGCTGTCAATGCTGCCATTGCCATTGCATGGCACATGTACAGAAAGATTAATCGAATGCCTACATTACCGATGTTTGTTGGAAAGGCCATTAAATTTGACAGGATAACTTGAAATGATGGATACAAACATTAATGATCAATTCTTTGCCTTTTGATAGAAAAAATATAACATTAAAACCTTTTAGACAATACAAACTTAAGTGAAACTTCGTCACATCGAATATTCATTCCAAAAAATTTAGAATTGGATCCCACTTTTCTGTGCTCAGTCTCCATTAATGTGTGCCTTCTTCATACTCCAAGCACTCAATCTTGTGATCTTGACATCAGCAGCACCATAATTGAAAACATAGAGCTGTGCCTCATCGTTGATTGCCAAAGTGGGGTAAACTCTGGCCGCGATGACCGCCCTGCCTTCTCCACCAAAACTCTCCACTACGGAGTGATCAATCTGCCAAAAAGCACACTTGATAAGGACAAGCCGAGATAATTACGGGTACAAATACTCAAAGATTTCGAAAACATGATTATTGTAAGTTGATGAGACCTTAAACTTTCGAAAACACTCATTATTATTTTCTATAACAATGAATGAATTTAATAGCGCATGCAACTTACCAAGCTTCTAAGCGATAGATTCTCATAAGAAGGGCCGACGTCAAGAAAGGTGCCATAAGTGGTGAGATCATAATCTTTTTGATTCAACGAAGACCTGCCAAAGTTTTGCATCTTCTGACGAAGTTATTAACAAATTGATACAAGGCTTGTAATGAGGACGAGGACAAACCTGCTTTGGTCGCTACAGAAGAGGACCAAAGGTTTGCGTTGGTATGTGAAGATTCTGAAGAAGACAGCAGTGTATTCTTTAGGCTAGGGGTCTCTAATGTGCCCTTCTCTAATACCCCTTGTAATATCTCAACTTTTCAATTTCATTTTTTATTTTTCTTTGGATCATTGCTTCTACATAAAATAAGAGACATTTGGATATCTTGATATCTCAAAATGGTAAAGATTTGTATTTTTTATGATTTTTCTAAAATAAAAGGGTGTATTTGTGATATTTTTCTTTAAAAAATAAAAAAATACAAATCTTCACCATTTTGAGACATCAAAATATTCAAATGTCTCTTATTTTATGTAAAAACCAATGATTCAAAGAAAAATAAAAAATAAAATTGAGAAATTGGGACATTACAAGAAATATTAAAAAAAGGCACATTAGAGGCTCCTAGCCCGTATTCTTTCAGGTCTTTGGAAGCAAACATGAGCAAACCAAAGGGGCCCACTCCACCTTCTACTTGTAAATTTTGAGCTAATCCCATCACCCATGTGATCACTGTCGGTCACAATCACAAAAAGCAAGACGAAAATTATTTCTATTTTAAGTTATAATAAATCTTGAGTTGTAAATTATAATAAATCGACCTGCTTTGGATCGGACTTTCATTTAATAGTGCACTTAGGCTCAGCGTTCCTATTTTAAGAATGAAAGGCTCTATTGCTTGTTTCATCATTCCTTGTCAAACGTCCTTTAAGCTGATCCTATTTCATTTTGGGACGAAGGAGAGAGGGTCCATATTCCTTTCACACTTGGTCTTATTGAAGGAAACTTTTAAAAGGATTGTATGTGCTTAATTTGAAATTACTTCGCTTGCACAGGAATAAATTAAGAATAATAAACTTTTTTCCTTTAATTGTCAAAAAAAAGTGTTATTCTCCTTGGTAATTAAGAAAGAAGGAAGGAACTCATTCCCCTAAGATGAAACTATGGAATAATTGAGGGAAATTTATAAATAAGGACGTGGCATAATTCAAGATCATGAAATAATAGTGAAATTCAATTTAAAGATTATGGTCTTTTTATGTATGCAATTAAAAAATATTCTTCTAACTAAAATACCTTTCGTGCCACTACTACAGAGAACATTGGAATTGATGAGTTCAAAATGTCTTAATACTTGGTGGGGAAATAACGTCGAAAAAAACTTGAAAAATGTTTAGCTTGAATTTTAGAATTGGATCTCACTTTTTTATGCTCATTACAGTTTCCATTAGGTCTCTGCCTTCTTCACGCTCCAAGCATTCAATTAGAGTGTTGTATTAAAAAAAATAAAAAATACATAGAGTTGTGCCTAGCTTATCCTTGATTGCCAAATGTGGGGTAAACTCTGGCCGGCCGCGATGATCACCCTACCTTCTCCTCCAAAACTCTCCATTACTGAGTGATCAATCTGCAAAAAAGCATAAGCGAGCGTGTATATATAAGCCGATGACCTTAAACTTTTGAAAACAATAATATAACAATGAATGAAGTTGTTAGTGTAACTTACCAAGCTTTTAAGCGTGAGAGATTCTCATAAAGGTCGACATCAAGAAAGGTGCCATAATTAGTGAGATCATAATATTTATGATTCAACGAAGGCCCGTCAAAGTTTTGCATCTGAATGTGAGATAATTATTGGAAGTTAACAGATTGATACAAACTTGTAAAAGACGATGAGGACAAACCAGCTTTGGTCGCTATATATAGAAGAGGACGAAAGGTTTGCTTTGGTATCTGATGATTCTGAAGAAGACACCAGTACTGTATTCTTTCAAGTCTTTTGAAGTAAACACAAGCAAACCAAACGGTCCCAGTTAGCTACCTTCTACTGCGGCACCCTTCTGCTACACAGACGCTGGGATTCTCATAGGCGCTGGAATGTGGGAGTGTCTTGATTTTTATCCAATTTTAATTTGCCAAAGTCTCTATATGGAGTTGGTGCCTCTCCAGACAAATCTTATGTTAAGCATGTCCGTAAGGTTAGTCTGGATGAACTAAAACTTGATTATTATCTCACTGGGAGGTACAATGCAAAGAAGGATAAGCTCATCTTGGATGCCTCTGGATTCCAAAATATTGAATCTGTCATGAGGTATGATTATGGAAAATATTATGCCTCCTTTGCATCATCAAAAAAGCGTCTTGGAGGCATAATATTTTCCATAATCATTCCTCATGACAGAGTCAATATTTTAGAAATCCAGAGGCATCCGAGATAAGCCTATCCTTTTTTCCATCATACCTCACAGTGAGATAGTATAATCAAGCTTTAAGATAATCTAGAGTAACCATACGGACATGCCTGACATAAGGTTTGTCTGCAGAGGGACCAGTCTCCAAATCGGGACTTTGTCAAAACTGGATAACAACCAGGACATTCCCACATTCCAGTGCCCATGGCCGAATATATATAGAGGGTGCTTTTGGCTTCAACCCGATTCAAAAAATCTTTAGAACCGACCGGTCTAGCTAGGGTTGGAGGAAAAACCAAGCAAAACTATAATAAAAATCACAAAATCAAAAAAGAAGTAATAGTAGCCCTCGGCTAAAGAAGAAAGAAAGAAAAAGAAGATGGTGGAGAAGAAAATCAAAAGAATCAAGAATGCCATCACGTTGTCTTCGTTTCAATAGGAATAAAAATTGCAAAAATCTCGGATATCAAAAGATATAACAAGAAAACCCATAAAAAATCACTTGAGAAAGGACGACTAAGGAGAAGGCAGGTGAAAGAGAAAATGCAACTGATTTAATTGGCAGAGGAGATCGAGACTGTGAGAGAGAAAGTGGGTTGGATGTGGAGGATGCAGGGAGACGACAGAGTTATATATGTAATGTTGGTGCCGTGGGAGAATGCAAATGGATCGGAACTGACGAATCCCAACTACGTTGCGATTTGCTCATTTAATTAAGCCGACAATAAGTTATGAAGAGATGAGCCAAAAGCCCAAAACCCAAAATAATTTCTGGTTTGACGTGACCATCGCCTGTTCCTAAAAAAATTTATCAAAGGATCAATAATAAGTTTTATTTAAAAAAAATTATGTTTTTATTTTAATAATAATTTATTTTATATTAATCTTTATTTGTGATTAATTTTGTTGAAAGGAAGTTGGCTGTGATTTTCCCTGCATACTTATAGCAATTATCTGATATATTCCACCAAAGGCAACTTTTTCCACGGAATTTGTGAAACCGGACCGGACCATTGAATAGACATTATCTTATTATTTTTTCTTAAAAAAAATATAATTTTAAATTCTTGCATTTTGTTATTAATGTATTATAAATTTCTGTACTTTTTTTATATTTTAAATCTCTATATTTTTATTTTTTGATGTTATAAGTCTCTCTTAAAATCTTACACTTTATTCATTTAAAGACATAGAATATCAAAAAATAAAAATATAAAGATTAAGAACATCAAAAAAAATACAAGAACCTATAACAAAAGCATTATATTAATTAACGTTAGAAAATAAAAAAGGACGGTTCTTAGCCTAACCTTCTGTGCATGCGTACCGATTAAAGATACCACTTTTACAGATAGCAAAACCTATATATCATTAATTAGGGATACTTTTTTTCTTTCTTTCCCTTTCACTCTGTCCTTCATTCCCACTAGCTTCAATGAAATATAATACTCCTTCCATTTATTTTTGTAGAAAAAAAATATATCACATAATTTATAAAAATTAATTAATTATATTAACTATATTTAAAAATAAAATAATTAAATTATAATACCTTTCATTAATTGTGTTAATAAGTTTTCATTAATTATTTCTTTTGATTATGAATGATAAAATTATCAAGAATAGTTTAGAAATTTTGCAATAAATGCTTATAAAAAAATGCGATTTTGTTTATATAAAAAAAGCAAACTAAAAGTGATAATTTTTCCTATAAATAAAAACAGATAGAGTACTTATTAACTTATATATGGCATTACATATTGGGGTAAGCTTTCATTAATTGTAAAATTTATATGACAACTTCATAGATTCCTAATATCGAAAAACGTCCACGTAAAAAAAAAATTATAGAAAAACGATTAGATGCCAATATGCTGTAAAGAGAGCAGAAAATTTTTTACATGTACCGATGCACCACACGATCCATACTTTATTTAATAAAAACATGTTTTATTACAATAGTGCAATCCAATAAGATTTAATGTGTCATGATTTTTAATAACTTTATCATCAACAATGATAAAATTAATTTATATTTACAGTCATCATGTATAATATGTTTTTGTTAGAAAGAGTATAGATTATGACGTGGTGATGCGTTGGGTTTATATAAAAAAATTTCAAAAGAGCTTTGCCATCCAAGAGTATAATTTAATGTTTTCACTTGGAGTTGCGCATTTATTAACGCTGTGTTCTAATTTGCCGGCATTTATATTGTCTTCCACCCAAAAAATGGCACTGCCTCTACCTTTCTCGGCCTTTCGGCCAAGATCAAGTGTAAATAGATGACCTCGAAAAGTCTGTGGCCCAAATGTAATGTACGGCAATGGAATTAAGTCCAATGGGAATGGTGGTTCGAACTACTGTAATTCTGGACCCAAAAAGAGTTTCAATGGATTGAAATATGTTGATCCTGTTTTGAAACATTCAATTACGACCAACAAAATGGGCCTAGGTCCACTTTAATCTTTGGGAGGGAAAGTGCTGTTCTGCTTTAGTGCCTTCTCGAGACACTTGGATTTTTTTATATAAAAAAATTAAGACATAGGATAGAATGACCCGGGAACTACAGAAATGAGATTTTTACGACAAATCGTAATTTGGCATTAATCATCTTATGATGTCTCTATTTGTCATTTCCTCTTATAATAATATTTTAAGAATGATTAATTTATCAGGGATTTAATTAGTACGGTTCCAGTTTGAGAATTGAGAGAATGAAGATGGAGACATGGTGGGGTAGACTTGGTTTTTATCAGCGATCTGAAAGCCCCAGCAAGAATGATACCATCGGCTGACACAGGAGTTGCACACATACAAGGATATAATTATTTACGGACACACGAATTAGTTCCTCTTCAACACATTTCCATACAAGCTAATTGACTTGGCCTAGTCAATAGAACTTAACTCTGCTATGCACGTGTCTATGGTAGGCAATTCAAGAGATCAAATGTAAAGCAAAACCCACAACACACACACACACACAAACACTTTTCCGTTTCACGTCTGATAGATACCACATGCAAACCTGAGGGGTGGTACCAGATTCCAATGCAGCCAAAAAGCCATACCATTTTTGTGAGAGGCAGGGAGGGTGAGGCTTGAGGGCTTTGGAAAATCATTCACTCCCACTAAGGATGGTATCTTTCGGTTGCATGACCATCATTCTTCGCCATTTTGCTGGTGCCGGTGCCGTCATAGCAGCTGGTGTGATTGTAACAGCCAGCTCTTACGGTTGCTTTACCATCCACATAAACAGACAGAATGCCATTACCATAAAACACTAGAATCATCATAAACTAAAGCTTCAACCAGAATGTCAGCAGAATACCAAATCAATTAGACTAGACAACTCTGACATAGAATTTCATGTCAAAAGGTGTTAACCACCATTACACTAAACAAATATATTGCCATATTGACCATATCGCTACTATTCTTTTCAAACCAAAACAAGAAACTCAAAATTATGTTATGATACAGAAAACTACGTATCAGTAGTAGTATTGACATTACAAAGCTACAATATGCATTCACCATCCAGGGGTCTGTTCACTCTTTCAAGATTAATCCTCCACTTCATCTTCTTCAAACTCCTCCTCCTCCTCCTCTTCACCGCTTTCCTCTTCCTGACCCTCTTCTTCATCATCAACAATGAAGCCTCCCAATGTCTCATCACCTTCATCTTCAACAATTTCATACACCCTAGGCGCTTTCTTTCGTCCAGAACTTTTACTTCCTTTGTTGTCCTTGGTTTGTTTATTTTGGTCTTTTGATCGAGTAGAGTACCCAGATCTAACTTTTCTTGTGTTTGCAATAAGGTCCACATCTTCTTCACTTTCCACCCAGTCATCATCTTCATCTCCGTTGCCTTTAGCTTTCTTTCGCTTTCTTCTTATGGCTGTCCTCTGCTCTTCAAAATCATCTTCATCTTCGCTATCTTTGCCAGGTTCCTCCAGGAACCAGTTCCAACTCTTCACATTGCGAATCATGTCCTTGGGATAATGATCAAACTCATGTCCCATCACCAAAAAACCAAACTCTGCAATTCCAAACCTGGCCCATGAGAATCTAGAGTAATTGGACACAGAAAATAACTGAATTCTACTATATTGTTCAGCAATGACCATCCCAAAATAATTCTTTTTACAATGGAAAAACTTGCATTTCTGGTGCTATTTCCAAAAAGTCTTGTTGTCCGAAGAAAAGCAAAAAATTGTTGATCATCATTCCACCATCCAGGGGGAAAAAAGGCAAGTATTATAGGAGGAAAAGTGGACAAAGAATACAGTAAAGCATAGGCAAGCCAAGTTTTTTTTAAAATGAAGATTAAGTTAGTATTTTGATCTTGTAATTTTATTTATTATTCTTTTCTTGGGTTTCTTAACTTGGTTTGTTTTCTGCAGGATTAGTCCTTTATCAACAAATTCATAGACCGTATACCCTACAGTTAGTTCATTCACACATATATATGACAGAGTTAATACAGGATTCTTCCAATTTGGTCACTTGATAGAAAAAGCAAATGGCCGCAGGATAAACATGGTCCGATTTTGAAGTTAGATTATCAATTTAACACAAAGTGCCGAATCAGAACAATGAATAATCTTTAAAAACCATAAATTTAAAAGTTACGAAACCAAAACTTCATTCATTCAATGACATATCTCATCCAGTATAGAGAGTTTAGAGAAATTACAGATTTAGCTATCAGCTCATTACCTTTAACGGTGTCAATTCCTGAAACATCAATGTCCTCAATGTCAAGCCCGTTACTTGAACTCTCAGAAACCTCCTTCTCAATATCCGAAACCGTCTTATTTCCGTCACGAACTCTACTGTATTTCAAATCGAACCAAACCGGCGCCTTCCCAGACAAACAGAAACGGTCGCCAACTTCCAACTCACCCTTCTCGAACTTCCTGAAAATCCGAATTTGACCATCGTTCTTGCTAAACAGCCAAATGGGGTTCCTTCCGATAACCTCGAACGAAACCCTAGGCTTTCCTCCGGCGTCGATCTTCTCAAGCGAAGTTCTCAGGCGGAACAAAACGTGACGACGAGAAACGGTGCGGTTGTTGGTGTTAAACCCTGAGCCTCGTCCAAACGGTACCTCACCACGCGTTCCCAACACAAATTTGGTACCGTCTTCACCTTCGACCTCAACCTCCATGGATTTCCGCTTGGAAGCCACTGCATTTTGATTTCGGCTACAGTAAGTAATTTACGATGGCGGTTAGAATTATAATGGTTAATTAACCTTTTGCAATATAGTTACAAGTTAATTTTCATAAAAAAATTAAAAATATTTTAATTAAAAATATGATCATATATAATTTTTCTTTTTCTCAACAAATATAATTTTTCAATACCATAAGTCAATACTTTTTTTCGTAAGTCAATACTTCCCCTGCCGCTAATTATAGAATTTTTTTTCTTAAAAAATTCAATTATTTTAGTTTTTGGTAATTAATTAATATAGGTGTACGTCCATCAATTTTCATCAAAAATAATAAATACATAGAGAATTCAAATGGGATCTTTTTGTGGGAGTAGTTTCTATAAATCGAACGATAGTTTTGTAAATTAAATCCCTTATCCAGTGATTATGAATTTTCAAATAGAAAGATACGCCCAAGTGTTTTAACAAAGTCAACATAACATTTTACCCCCCCCCCAAGTCAACATATCATGGTCGTTTGTGTTGGAGAGTGCTTAAATATTTAAAAAAAAATTGATTACATGAACAAATTTTGTTATGACTATATTAGTTTCAGAAATTTGGGAGCAGTTATTGTTCATTTGATTCAAATATGTAAAGGATCTCAAACAGCCCCATTTCAAAAGCAGAATTGAATGGGCATGCTAATACTATAATAATAAGCGTTGCTCGAAAATTACATTGCGTTTGCAAATTTTAAGTTAGCACCTTACTTCACATTTTGGAATGGATTAGCTATATTAATAATGAAAAAGTTGATTATAGATTCAGAAATGTCAAAAGTGAAAAGGATAAGAGAAAAGTAATGGCAATACAATAAATTAATCACTTATTCCAAAGATAAGAATAGTGGATCAAACCGAAACTTCAATTAAATTTGTGAGAATAAACGGTACTACAAATTGACAATAATATCAAGCGTAAATTAACTTGTTTACAAACATATTCCTGATCAATTTCTAATTACAAGTGCTACAGATGAATGTAAAAATTGTGCTGAGGAGAGAACCCATGAGTAAACTTCATCAAAGCAAAAGTTGCATCACACAGAAGGACTCAAAAGCCTCGTATATATGCCTCAGTCCTTGAAAGATACTTATTCCTCAAAGTTCATTCTAATAAATTGGATCCCTTTATTATTATTATTTGTTTTTTTTTTTTTTGGCTCAGTTGATTTGTGCTTTCTTCATGCTCCAAGCATTCAATCTGGTGATCTTGACATTAGCAGATCCATAATTGAAGACATAGAGCTGTGCCTCATCATTGATTGCCAAAGTGGGGTAAACTCTGGCTGTGATCACTGCCTTGCCTTCTCCTCCAAAACTCTCCACTACTGAGCGATCAATCTGCGAAATGGACAAGCACACACATCACATAAACATGTTGAAGTGTGTTTATTATTGTGCGTTCACCTTTCACTTTTGAGACATTACATTATTATTATAATAATGAATGAACTTTTGTGGATATCGGCAGGCCCAGGACCTTTAATTTATCAGCGGGGAGAATTTTTTTATGTTTTTTAATAAAAAAATTTATGATTATTATTTAAATAAAATGTGCTTATAACTTTTAAAAGAAATCAACTCACTAATAACATATTTTCCTGATTGTCCTCTCCATTCAAAATTTAAAACATATATTCAAACTAGCATATGTCAATTTCAAAGTGATTGCACAACAGTTGCGTGTAGATTGCACAAATACACAGAAGTTGCATAAAAATAGCAGAAAGTTTTTACAAAAAATACACAAAAATCGAATAGAAATTGCACGACTAGCATACAGAATTTGCACACTAACCTGTCCAGAGTTTTCATAGAAAATCGATCTTTTCAAGAAAAGCGACACAAAGTAAAAGAATAAAATTAATAAGATATATGGAATGTTAAAACCTATCATATTTCAGGTATTATATTTTCCCCCAAGTGAGGAGGCCGGGGCAAGATCTGCGCACCCTCACATGCAAGTCACATGCAACATAGATATACCATTTAATGTTTATGGATGTCAACAACTTACCAAGCTTCTAAGAGAGAGATTCTCATGAGAAGGGTCAACATCAAGAAAGGTTCCATAAGTGGTGAGATCATTATTTTTATTCAATGAAGACCTGTCAAAGTATTATAATTGGATTTACAAAAGTGAGATAACGATTGGGAAATAAATTGACAAATTGTACATTTGAAAGAGAAAAGAGGAAGAGAACAAACCTGCTTTGGTCGCTACAGAAAAGGATCAAGGGTTTGTGTTGGTATCTGAAGATTCTAAAGAAGACAGCAGTGTTTTCTTTCAAGTCCTTTGAAGCAAGAGCAAGCAAACCAAAAGGTCCTAATTCACCTTTTACTGCTGCACCCTTTTTGCTACACAGAACTTGTGGGTCCATCCAATAGTCCAATACTTCTGCCTTCTCAAACCCTTTTGCTTCAAATGAAACTTCTACGTCAGCCTGTTCAGACACGCACATATTAGAACCCCCCTTATTATAAGTTAATTAATTTATGCAGGTGAGGTTCTTTTAAATATTATCATATTCACTGTTTCAACGGAAGCGCCATAGAAGGATCTTGTCTGTTAGCCTTTGCATAAGAATTAAACAGATAATTTATGAGAGTTCATGTGATCTTAAACCTGATAATTATATTATATTATATATTACTGTATTACTTAAGGTATAGATTTCTAAAGGAGACTTACTTGTGCAGCTGTGATACCAGTGACTTGGAGGAGCTGACCAGCCTTGAGCACTTTGATTGGCCAGCTGATTGGTTTTGCACGTAGCTTCTCAATTTCAGGCACCGGCCATTGCACCAGTTGTTTCCCTGACTTGTGAAGCCAAATGGCCCTTGGAATTGCCTACATATCACATGAGCATTAATATTAATATATTATTCAAAACATGTATTTTCTCTTGACTAAACTATTATTATAGTTCATCTTTGACTTTGCATAAGCATTCTAGTTGAATTTCAACACATTATCGTGAGCTGGCTATCTCATATTTCAAATCATATATAAAAACCCATTATTTTAATCTATCTTGCATATTCAACTTGACATTTTTTTAATGCATTAATGAATCTGTTACCTACAAAGCAATACATATATAAAGTATGAAATATGTTACTATCAACGTTAACTTACATGAATCCCTGACCACCCTTTATTGAGATCATCAGCAACGCTTGAGGATTCGTTAGCCCATCCTAACAAAATTCTTCTCTTCTTTGCATCATCAAAAAACGTTTTGGAGGCATAATATTTTCCATAATCATACCTCAAGAAAGAGTCAAGATTCTGGAATCCGCTATCCGGGATAAACTTATCCTTCTTTGCATCATAAGTCCCAATGAGATAGTAATCATGCTTTTTATCATCCAAACTAACCTTAAGCACATGCCTAACATAAGGTCCATCAAAAGAAGTATCAACCCCAAACATGGACTTAGACAAGACAGGGAAGAAATCAGGACACTCCCACATTCCAGTGCCTTTAGCAGAATAAAGAGGATGTTTGGCTTTAACCCAATGAACAAAATCTTTAGTTCTATATAGTAGTGCCTTCCCTGTAGTGTCTCTTTTGTTCCCAACTAGGACTCTATAGTGCCCATCTTTGCCTAGCCAAGCAGTCGTAGGGTCTCTGAATGAGCTAGAATTGATTCCATTAGAACTAGCGGGAGCCATCAAGGGGTTTTGTGGGATCTTAATCCATTCCCTGAGGTAGGGGTCTGAGGCATTTTTGGGATAGGCCAAGTTTTGGACTTGGTTGTTATTTTGGTCAATTCCTGTGTATAGAATGGCAGGCTTGCCATCTGGAAAGATCGTGGCTGATCCTGACCAACAGCCGTTGATATCGGACGGCTGAGAGGGGTAGATGGCTTTGTCAAGTGGGGTCCAGTTTACAAGATCCTTTGATACAGAATGAGCCCACACAATGTTCCCCCAAATAGCTCCTTTGGGATTGTATTGATAGAACAAATGGTATAGTCCCTTATATCTCATTGGTCCTGCACAACAAAAAGCCATTTATAAAGTCAACTTTCCCCCTCTTACACATATCTTAGGACAAATAAAAGATTTAATTTGACTGAATAACTTGAAAACTACGTGGTTGCACAAGAAATGAGAATTTTTAATTTTTTTTTTTTTAGAACAACGCAAAGTCTAAAATAGAAGTCAATATTTTATGGGGAAAAAGAAATCAGTTTGGAAATGAAACAAATAAACTATATGCATGGTATATTCCGTTCTTCTTTCTTTCTTTCTTTCGTTCTATTTTTTAAAAGGTGATTTTAAAAGAATCAAAATAAAATATATGTAGAGGACCATTTGGTAATTTACTATGACAGAAAAAACATACAAACATATATCATATGCTTTTTTTTTTTAATTGAGCTGTGGTTCGAATTACGTACATACACACAAAATTAATTCATGTCTACATCCTTATTTAAAATAACTTGAAGGGTTTAACGACCATGTCCAAGCTAGGATGACGATTTTCAATAATATCACAAGGTCATCAATCCTTTTCATTCATTTTGTCTCTAACACAGAGAATATGTCTGTATTTTGATTCCTAATCTTATTTTTATGAAACTTCCTGCGTTAGAACTCCTGTTGAATGAGCTCAGCATCAAGAATTCTTGCATTTTGATGCGACCACGATCATAGCTAGTTTTCTAATATTCATCTTGTTGGATATCGCAAATTTCAAAGTTTCATCAAACATTTTGACTAAGCACCGTTCAAAATCTGCAGTCATATTCATATATTTTCTGAACTGGCCTAATCAAGAAAACAGCTATATGGATACAGAAGAATACAAGAAGGAATTAAAGAGGATAGAAACTAACCGTTAGGATCTGCAGATCGAAACAAAAGCAGAAGCCCATTTCAGCATATCATGTCAAATGACAGCAGAAAGAAAGGAGGAGAACAAAATGTCAGAGACATGATAAGAATAACCTTGAAAGAAGCTTAAGGATATGAAGAAGATGAAGGAAGTTGAGTACCGTTGATCCAATTCTTGGAAGGTTGGAAGTGGAAACCAGTTCTGTAAGGTTGATTTGAGGAAGAAGAAGATACAGTACTCTGAAGGTTTCTGTAAGCATGGTGGGTGGCTTCAATGTTAAGGAATAAACAATGGCCGAGAACGAAAGAGAAGATAGCCAATACATGGATTGAAGAGACAGCCATTGTTGTAGGGTTTTGTAATTCGTGAGAATGACGATATAGAACCTTGACCTCGATGCTATATATATTTATAGAAAGAGTCGGTAATAATTCATAAACAATGAGTACGGCATTAAGAAATAATAAGTTATCTAGTTAACTAGATTTGATTGCCAACTTGTTTGCTCGAAACAAGAAATATAAGAAAAATCAAAGATAATGCGGAAGAAGCATCCAGGAAAAATTAACACATGATAATATATCATTGGATAACAGAGAAGTCAACTACATAGAAGAGTAAGAGCTTTATTTTAAGATACACACACAGTCAAAAAAAAATACAAATATATTATTTTTCTCAAGTCGGGACTTTTTCAAGGAGCGTTTTGCTGATTGTTTATGTACGTTTATTATTAGACTAATTTCATCTCTTATCAAAACCTTTTTCACTATATAATTTGTATTGCAAGCCTTCCTCGAATTTATCGATGGAGGAGAAAAGGCCAATTTTTCTCATGTAATTACTTTTAGCTTATGAATACTTCCTCAGACCAGAAATAACAAAAATGAAATCTCAGAAGTATAAAATAAAAAATGATAATTAATGACTTAACCCCTCGATTTGGAGACGCCATGAAATCGGCTGATACGAAACGAACAGAAAAAAGCGGAAAAGGTAGTAATGTTTGGCATGCAAAAGCTATAATGATATCGTGTACAGTTGCTGACCAAGAAAGCACAAAAGCAATGAATTGGACTTATCCTGAAAACGTGGATTATTATATAGATGGGTCTGAAAACATATATTATGTTCACAATCAATCACAGATCTATGACAGTGTGGATACAATTAATTTGAGTAAAAGGTTATAGGAGGGAACAGGAATTGGTAAAGTCCGTAATAATCGAGTTCGTCGTCTGTTGGTGGTGCTGCTAAACTTTGTAGAATTGTCATGAAGAATTGTTCATGGTTGATTATAATTGGAGTGCATTATATATGGTGTCCAGCTCACAACATATCTCGTGCTTATCTTCAAGCCTTATGACAAACTAAAGTCGTGTTCAATGTTCAATCACTAGTTAAATAAGTACTATACTTATTAATCGCATGAATATTGAATTAATTCATCTCTTAAGAAGGATTGTTATTTATGAAATTTCAGGCCATTGTGGTTGACAAAAAACGTTAATACTGTAATAATTAATTTTATCATAAGATTAGAATAATTTTTTATGGGCTCATAATTATATTGTGTCACGAGTTAAACAATATTTATCCTCCAACGAAATGTTGAATAAAACTGAAGGGAGTAGTAATTTCAAAAAAGTGCAAGATGTTGAAATTTCTGGGAATGAAATAATGTATAAAAGTGGACTAGAAGAAGTAACGTAAAAGGACGATATTCTTTGACCAGCCATTTGGGTGACATGGGGGTGACAATTTATTCAAAAACCTTGAATTATCTGTATGAAAACATGGGAAAAAATGCAATACATCGTCACCCAGATTTAAAAGAAAAAAAATCTACGCATATACATGTGGGGCGGTCATCCTGAGAAACGATAAAATATAATAACTAATCAATCAATATTATTGATTCGGTTGATAAGGATTTAACCTATAAGTTATAAGATCATAACTCTTATGAGATCAAATTTCACTGAGGACCTTATTGTTGGACAATCTATGAGCGCTCCTTCAATCTAAAAGCATCCCCTAACTCTAATAAGTCTTGAGATCTAACTTATTAAAATTTTATTTTTCCAACCAAAAAAAAAATTGCTAATCTAGGTGGGCCAAGTTGAACCTTTCTTCGTTGAGCTAGCTTTAAAGGGGCTGAAAAAAGGTGAGAGCTCCTTAAACTAGGTCAAAAAGTCTATGAAACTCTAAACTTAATTTTTATGTAATATTTTTTTTAATTTTTAAAAACAATACAATGTAACTCTTACCCATTAATAAAAGATAATTTTAATCATCAATTAATTAAACAATGATAGAAAATGACCTCACAAATTATAAAAAATGATTGAGAAACTAAAAAATGGCCCCAAAAAATTACAAACAAAGACTCAAAAATTTAAAAAACAAAATCTAGTCATTTTTTTTATTTTTTCATATCATTTTATGGTCAACTAATAGTTAAAGTTAACTTTTATTAATAATGAATGTTATATTACATTATTTTCAAAAGTTAATAAGTAAATATCGCACAAATGACAAGTGTAGAGTGGCAAGTGCTCTTAAAGATCAAATTGCTATTTAACTCAAGAAAAAAAATGCATATATACTTTTGTTTGTTGATCTATCTAGCTTATGAAACATTTTCGTGGCTCTTTGTTCTATTTTAGTGAAACAATGTCTTTATAATTTTCTCTTTTTTTTTATTTTTGTGTTAAGTAACTCTTTCTTTTTTTTTTTGCACTCCATGATTTTATATTAATGATAATTGAGTATTCTTTTTTTATAACCTAACAATTGAGTATTCCACTGGGTTTATAGTTAGATTATATTAATATTGTTGAGTAATGTTAGTCAATGCTGTGCAAACATTTTTATATTATAGTTAATATATATATATATATATATAAAATTGCATTATGCATCTTCTAACATGTTACAATTTATCATGAGTTTTATTATAGGTTCTTACACTTTTTTTAGTATTTTAGATTTCGACACTTTTGTTTTTCAATGTTACAAAAAAACACTGAAAAAAAAAGTATAGAGACTTATAATAAAACTTGAGCAAAATGTAGAAACTCAAAATTGTATTTTTTCTTTTTTAATATTTTTAGTCTTTCTTTCATATTTGAAATCTCTCCCTTCTTAATTATTAGATATTAGTAAATTTTTTAATTATATATATACACATGAGTTTCAATGAGCTAGTCCTCAATATTGAAGAATTAACCCATTTTTTCAGTCCAAAATACAAGTTTGACCCTCTATTTAAATGGGTCGGCCTGACAAACTCAACTTATTTTTCTAATTCTAATCCATTATTTCCTTGCCTTGAAGGCTAGGCTTGAGACCTCTTTTATTTTTTGAAAAAAAAAAAACTTTTTGTTGTATTAGGAGAATTAAAATGAATTATCTCGCTACTTTATGTGGCTGCTTTTATAAGTAATATTGTCAGTTGAACCTTTATCAAAAGAGGTGTGAATATATAATAATCAATTGTGACTTGAATAGAATTATATCTAAGTAACTATATACAATAAAAAAATATTATCAATTTTAATTTTAATTTTTGCTAAAAGTCAGAGAATAGCGAGCATGCTCTGAAAGAAAATATTATGAATTATGTATTTATGTCAATAGGTCAGCAAACTTTGATCATAAAATAAATGAGCTTTAAATTTTATCTGTAAACAGTACACTTATTAGTACGGCTCCAACTTTCACGTTTTAATCTTCTTAATATAGTCTGGCAAAAAAAATATTCTTAATATAGTATTAATGTATTATGGACATATGAAGTACCTTAAAAAAATTATAAATAGACAATAAGGGCTAGAAAACACGAATTCCCAATCTTCCACCGAAGCGGGTCTAGTTGTTATATCAAACAATTAAAAAATGTGTTCCGGCCAAAACAAAAAAATGTGCATTGAAAGATTTTAAATTAAATTATTGATATAGAAGGCTTTCAAACTTTAAACCATATATTTTTATAGAGTGGAAGGATCATAAAAAAAAGCCTAATATCTTAAATTTTTTTTAAAACAATATAATTTTAAAAATTTTAAAAATAATGTAATGTCACTCATTATTGAATCTGAAAAATGTTGATCATTAAAAACAAAATTTGACTCAAATTTTACACGTATCATTTACTCATTCGATGCACTTCTTCTTCATCGTTCACATCAAGAATTGTTTGATGTGTCTCTATTATCGAGGTGAATGAGGAAGAAGAAGAAGTGACCGAATGAGTGAATGACATGTGTAAAGTTGTTGGTTACTTTTTTTTTTTTTTTGACGTTCAACCAACGTTTTTCAACTCTAATGATGAGATTATATTGCGCTCTTTGTAAAAAATTTTGAAATAATATTATCCTATAAAAAAGTTTAAAATATTAAGTTGAAAAATATTTAAGATATTTTTATTTTATTAACATTATTTTTATGTAGTTTAAACTTTCAATGTAAATATTATTTTATTCTTAAACATGTGAAATCTATACTATAAATTTGGCCATAGCGTGATCTGAACTAGACATGAATTCCATATATTTGCATGAAATTTTTTAAAAATTACAAGTTGAAAGTGTCACATCTCTTCATTTCTTTCAAGGTTGAAACTTGATATCGTGACCTTTCTTAACTTTACAAAATTGGGCCCCTGGCTGACTTTTTAGTTGTGGATATATATGTATGTGGAAAGAAAAGTCTAATTTGAACCAATTAGATGCAATAAAATAACAATTTGTTAGCAATAAGAGAGTCTAAAATTCCGTCCGTCATTTGAATTCCAAAAATAGGCATTCAACTAAAACTGGATTCTCCAGCTTTTCTGGGTCCTGCTCATTGATTTTGTTCAATAATGAACAATATATACCAGAAAATATATTGATTTAATATGTAATAATCAAGGAAGAAGATACTAATATCATACCCAATCCGAATAAATTTCATACCCAATATTTCACATTCACCTGTTATAAGTTTCTGTCACCTGTGAAATACTTAAGAGATCAAATCATTTAAATGAATTAGAAGTCTCAAGGACAGAAAGTGCGCCGTGGCAGTCCCAATTTGATTATGTTGGTCCTATTCTTGACAAAATAATCAATCCTGTTTACCAACAAATAATAATCAATTCAGGTTTCACCCCTTTTCTTTTCACACGTAGGGGAAGACTAAAACCAAAAAAAAAAAAAAAAGGAAAAAAAAAGGAAAAAAATCATGATCTTAGACCTTCATTAAATCCAATTTCTGCTTGTAATCTTTCTCTACAACGTTTGGGGGGGGGGGGGGGTTGGTTAAAAAATTTCCAAGAATTTCATGTGGCTTTCTCAGTTATATTTCATTAACACATAGTTTACCTAATTATTTTATTTTAC